TGATCTATTTTTTTTTTTGCAGGTCATGAGAGACGATGCCAAATTTTAAAGAACATTAACGTCACTAGGCAAAAATTCCTATCCCCAAGGGAAAAATATCTTTATTCTAAAGTTATAGAATCCAGCAATAAGTTAAGAAGAATCAGTAAAATGTTGTCGTCATTTAAATCCAAAGTTTCTGCTGCTGAATAACTTGCATCATCAACCAAATTTCGAAGGCTCGTAGACCATGTCAATCCATTGATATACAGCTTTATTTTAAGCAAGTCCGTACTCAAAACTAAAAGCCTAAAGCAAGACGATTTACATTGGACGAGAAGTTGTTGGCGTTGTCTTTGCTTAAATCTAGTGGTAAAGGGTACCTATAGACTATTATCAAAAATATTTACTCTATCATCCAGGCGAAATCAGTTTCTTGAATGAGCTTTATATTATGTATAACTACATAAACTTTCAACTTTCTACCTAACACATGCGGAAAGTGTATTTCCTGGACTCAAAGGCTTGCCCGAACTCTGCTTTTTGTTGTCATTCGTGCAACTTCCATCACGTGCAGAAAAATAGGTATCACTTTCCTCACTTGTTAGGTTAACAACGATTTTGGATTGTGAGAGAAGGACCTCCAGCGGCGGATTTAGGATTCCTTCTAGGGGGGGGGCGATCCATCAGGGCCTCAGGCTCAGATAAGAAATAATAAAAAAACGACTTAAATATACAGAGTGGCAAAAAAGTCGCGCATAATACCTGTAACTTTCTAATTACCTCGTATACGAAAAAGTGACCTTAATGAAAGTTGCTCAGTAAATTAGGGACATAAAGCTTCCGTATTTTTTGCTCGGTATCCGTATCGGTATCGTACTGCGCATGTGCAGAAGCGATACGGAGGCCGAGATACCGTACGTACAACGTAGCGTTACGGCCCTCTCGCGGTATCCGTATCGGTAACGTATCTTGACATTCCTGACGCATGTGTCAAATTTCAAATGAATATAACCTCCCTTTTCTTCCGGGTTGATTTAATTTGTTTAGTTTATACTTTCTTGAGTTTCTTGTGTGTTTAGTGCTTCTAATCTCTATCGCAAAAAAATAACAATTTTAAGGTTAGATATAAAAACGCCGAAGTTTTGAGACAAAAATGTCTAGGTTATGAAATGCGTTTACGTTTACCGGAACAGGGAGCGCTTTAACAGCCTTTTCGGTTGTCAACGTATCTAGTTGCGTTACGGATACCGATACCGATGAATTATTTCAAGTAGCTTTATGTCCCCAATATTTCCCACAATTCTACTTAAACGTATTGCCTGTGTCACTTCTGGTTTGTTTGCTATCTAGACCAACTTTCTTTTTTTCAAATAAAACACCCTGTATGTGATTGCATATTTGGATTCTACGTAAAATTCTGAGCAGATTTCATGTGATATACCCTATACCTAAGTTCAACTGTTTTGGAAATATTGACAGTTGAACATTGACTTTTTGCAACTTTGACAGGCTGTAAAACCTGAACGGTTAATTTCAGAGGAACACCGATTTCACATTCCTATCTTAGATTTTCATAAACTATCATTTGACATCAACATTTAATTTAATCGGAGATTAAATTTAATTGGAATTTTCAATTATAGATTAAATTCAAAGTTGGTGCGGATTTACGTCATCCGCAGTCGGTTCGCTCCCAGCTCGCTGCTGCCAAACGTATTTAAAAGTATTAAAAATTTGGAAAAATAGCAAAAACCATATAGAATTTCATGTTGGATAATGCTTGATGAATATGTTTGTGTTTTCGTTAAAAATTTCGTTGTTGCGTCGCTCAATAGGGGGGGGGGGGGGGGGGCGCGCGCCCCCCGCGCCCCCCGCGCCCCCCTCTAAATCCGCCACTGAGGACCTCTTTTGTAATTTCATTTACGATTTAAGTTTCTCATCAAGCTATTGTTAAATGTACATCATTACTTCTTGTAACTGTCCTTATTATCTTTAACTTAACTAGCATTAGGTACCTATGTATGTATACCTACATGAAAAAAAAACTGTTTCGCAATAATTTTAATTAATTCCATATTCTATTATATTTTCTGTTTCAAATTTTAATAAATATCAAAATTTGTCATCTTAATTCTAAGTCAATTTTACCTAGGAGGCGCTTCAACGCTACCGATTTTATGAGTTTCTTCTTTTTGGCACATTATTATTTTATGCCAAAAAATAGTAGAAACTTTAAAGTGGTGGTGTTGAATCGCTAGAATCAAACGATGGTGTAAACGATCCACCGGAACGAATAAGATACCGAACGAACCCTAATTGCGTTTTGCATGCGCCAATAAATCCAGAATTACAAAAGCTGACCCCTCCAGTCACTAGAGGCGCTGAAAACTTATAGACAGTACGGCGACAATTGCTGTCTCATTTTTGATTGGTTCTAAAATCGCATAAATTTATATTGAAAACACCGCCATCTTGTTCCCAACCCCTTGTTACTTTCAAATATGAATATATGGGATTTAGGTGAACATTCATCATAAATCATGGAAAACAACGTATTTGATGGACCTAATACTGGTCATCAAATACGTCGATTTCAATTTTTTATGATAGATGTCCATTTAATTCCTATATATAAATATTTAAAAGTAACAAGAGGTTGGGAACAAGATGGCGGCGGGACCTCTATTGTCGCCACTGTATGTAAAGGTTTATTTAGCCACTGTAATAGACAGGTTCTCAACATGGCACTTACCTTTCTAAGGGGGGATGTTTTGTGGTCACTAACATTTTTGAACAAAAAGTTATGAATATATTTAAAACAGTCAATCAAATTTGTATATTCACCAATACCAAAAATTTGCTTTAGGACCGAATAATCTATCATAGATTTCTTTACATTTAGGCAAACAATAACAACGTCATTCTTAGAATAGTCAAAAGTACTGCTGAAAATATTTTTTACAACTTCATGTAGAGGGGCGTACGATTTAATTATTCCCGAAACCGCTTCTTCAGAGTCATTAAGCAAAATGCGTAACTTCGACTCACAGCCCCTTCCACTTTCATCTCCCAACACTAGAACTCTTCTTTTATAGCAATGACCTTCATTATTCTCTAATCTAACAGGCAGAGATTTGACACACTTGGATTTGACTTGCTTACAGATTTTTTCTACTCCCATCATTGTAGGATCATACTGAGTACTGGCATTACTAACAGTTTTAGCATTATTGCTAGTCCTCATCAAGAAGATCTCTTTTTGCGCTTTTTTGTAGTCATTCATACAAGTTTCATTGTCCTCAGTTAAAGTTCTGATTGAGGTCAACATTTCGTCTTTAAGCGACACTAAGTTTTCAAGGTCCATCTGTAGCTTTCTGTTTTTCTCCTTGATCTCTTGATTACTGGAAAGATCTCGGTCCTATGCACTCGTGATTCAACAAGACCCCGGCCCTGCGGAATCGCAATTGAAAAAGACCTTGGCGCTTTGGGCTTGTCGTTAGAAAAACTTTTGCTACCTCAGTAGTGAAACGACGAAATTTCAAAATTTTTTTTCTTGAGATTTTGTATCCTAATGGTTCTTTGGGATCCCCCAAACTTCATACACTAAATTATTCTGAGATTTGGAGCCAGATTCTATGAAAAAATGCACTCAGAAAAATGGAAAAGTTAAAAAATCACTCCAAATTGCTGAATACGATTTTATTTCTGGAACTATAAGTCCACATGAGCTGAAATTTTCAAGGATTGTAGTCCTCTACTGGAATAAGAAACGCTGAAAATTTCAGCCTTTTATCTTTTTTAGAGAAATAATTATGACTTTCCAAAGTTTTCCAAAATCTAAATCATAAGGTAACTACCTTCGTACTAAAACGATGAAATCTCAAATTTTTTTTTTGTTGAGATTTTGTGTCCTAATGGCCCTTTGGGATCTCCCAAACATCATATAATAAATTATTCTGAGATTTGGAGCTGTATTCTATGAAAAAAAGCACTCAGAAAAATTTAAAAATTGATAAATCAGCCCAAATTGCTTAACACGATTTTATTTCTAGAACTATAAGTCCAAATGGGCTGAAATTTTTATAGTCTTCTACTGGGATAAGAATCGCTGGAAATTTCCGCTTTCTATCTTCAACAGGAAAAAAAGTTATGACCATTCAAAGTTTTCCAAAATTTAAATCATAAGGTATAGTCCGACAAATACCATTTTAAAGTCACGTGATATTGGTGGCAAAAAATTGGGTACCCGTTTTCTATTTGCATCTTTTTGAGTTGGAAAAAGGTTAATATAGTCAAAATTATTAGCTGTGTTTGTTCGTTGTATCATTTTCTAAAATAACTTTGACAAACTAATTGATGACAGTGACGGATTCTATTTCAGGTAAGAATTTTATGAACAATAATTAGACAGCAATTTTTTTGTCAATTTTACGATCACCGCTGTTTGAGATGTATTCAACAAGGATAGAGAAAAATCAGGTGACTTTAAAATGGTATGTGTTGGACTATACCTTCTTACTGAAACGAGGAAATGTCAATTTTTTTTTTGTTGAGATTTTGTGTCGTTATGGTCCTTTGGGATCCCTCAAACTTCATACACGAAATTATTCTGAAATTTGAATTCGAAATCTATGGAAAAAGGCACTCAGGAAAATTGAATATTTGATAAATTTAATTTACCCCAAAGTGTTCCACGCGATTTTATTTCTGAATCTATAAGTCCAAATGAGCGGAAATTTTCAGGGTTTGTTGTCCACTACTGGGATAAGAATCGGTGAAAAGTTCAGCTTTGTACCTCTAATAGAAAAAAGGTATGATTTTCTTAATTTCACAAAAATCTAAACCATAAGGTAGCTTACCTTAGGTACCTACATAGGTATTGATTTTCGGACGAGCAATATCTACCTAATTAAATTCTTGAAGTCTGCAAAAGTTGACACCTTTTTCAATTATTGTAATTCAGAAAGCGTAGATTGTAAAATGTAACATTTGGAAGAGGAACAAAATATTCACAAATGGGAATTTGTAATTCAGAATAGGAATATGTATTTCGGAAATGGGAAAATTTAATTTCAGGAAACATAAATTGTAATTCAGATATGCAATTTCAAAGATAGGGAAATGTAATTTAGAATTAGGTACTTTATAAAATCACTATAATATATTCAATAGTAATAATCATTAAAAATCCTAAAAACGAATTATTTTATGTACAAATATGGCACCATCAGATTCGGTAATATAAAAATATACACAACTAAATATACATATTTATAATACAGTCTCAATTCAATTTTTTTATTTTCTGATTATATATAAAAAAAAATTAATTTTTTTGATATTTGCCCGGCCTAGAACATTACACTATACAAAAAAATAAGCAGACAATAAATACATAGGTATTATAAAACACGAATTAAGCTTAAACATCTATAAAAAACAAATAAACTAATATAAATTTTCTCTTAAATAACACCTATTAACAATTCGTGCTAATTCAGAAAAGGGGGCAGAGTAACATAAGTCTGATTCCCGTTACCATCCGGTTTCAAGTCCTTTTCGTAACTTTGATCGTACTTGGGAGAACCTCCGTACCGTTCGGGCGATTGACTCAAACTCGGATCCACATACTCAATCTTCACTCCTATCGAATTTTCGTCCCCAGTGGGCGAATGCGTTTGCAACATCGAATACTCCCTGCCCAACGGTGGACTTTGATTCACTGGCGGAGTCGAGTACTCGTGAGTCCTAAACAATTGAGTATCGTGAGAGTTAAGCATGTAAGAATACGAATTCTGGCCGGAGCCGAAAGTCGTATACGAAGCGGGAGATCCGAAACTGGAATACGATCCAGGCGTGGAGTTGAGTAAATTCAAGTGCCCTCCCAGTTCGTAAGTCGATTGTCCGTAGCTCCACGAGTCCACAGGAGCTGCTGGTTGAGGTTGAGTGAACGGTATGGATTGATTGAAGTTGGGGTTGATTGTAGAGGTTGGTGTAGAGGAACTGATGTAGCCGGTTTTTCTTGGAGGTTCGCGTTTACGCCACTTGGCGCGTCTGTTTTGGAACCATACTTGCACTCTGGACTCGCTTAGGATGAGTTTTAGAGCGAGTTCTTCGCGAGCGAATACGTCTGGATAGGGGGCGCGTTCGAATGCTCTTTCTAATTCTTCCAGTTGATAAGCAGTAAAGGTGGTTCTGAAACAATAATAATAATCGGATTTAACATAACAATTAGAAGAGGATGCCTTGAGTCTTTGAGAGTCTCAATTTTGATTTTTAAATAAAAGATTTCCGAGTGCCCGCATCATACAAATCCGATTTATTTTTTGAAGCTTTCACCCCAAAAAAAAAAAAATCTACAAGTTATTTATTAAAAACCACTTTAACTATAAACGCGCGTCAGTTGTCCATTCGAAGGGCGATAAGGGCAGGACAGATGCGTGACATACCGACACACGTTCAAATATCTACACGAGAAGGGCAAAAATTGTTTTTTTTTTGCATCCAAAGTCAATTTACCGAAACTAATTTTATACAGGCTAGATGCTATCTTTGGCATAGGGAATTTCAGAGGGATACTAATTTTAAACAGCAATATTGTACCTATATGAGGTTTAGCCAAAGATAATTAAAAAAAAAATAGGTAGGTACTGTACCTAAAGGGTCATTTACATCCACTTAACTCAACGTACGGAATATAAGGAAAAGTTGAAGATCATATATTTATATGGTAATTGTTTACATCTACTTAAAAATTAAGAAAATTAAGTTTCAACTTTGGAGGCCCATATTCATGAAATTCTGCTCCACAATAGTAATTTTTACATTGAAATATGTGAAATATTAATGAAGTAATAGATGATTTTGTGAGGCCATGTCGAATAAATGAAATTTCCAGAGACCAATAAGTCTTTTCAATTTGTTTGAAGCCTTTAAACCTCTAACATAAAGTTGTTGGAATGTTTTTCTACTAAATTTGACCTCCTTTTTCGATTGATAAAGTCAGACATTTGAAAAACTTGAAGAAATAATTTTTGACGTAGCATCAAAGGAGCTCTATGAAAATCTGACACAAAGTTTCAACTTTGAAGGTCCATATCTTCAAAACCGTTCCAAATATTGGAATCAAACTTGTTTTATCTTGAAGAGCATTGAATTCTGACCCAGAATAGTAATTTTTACATTGAAATATGTGAAATATTAATGAAATAATAGATGATTTTGTGAGGCCATGTCGAATAAATCAAATTTTCAGAGACCAATAAGTCTTTTCAATTTGTTTCAAGCCTTTAAACCTCTAACAAAGATTTGTAGGGATGTTTTTCTACTTAATTTGACCTCATTTTTCAATTGATAAAATCAAAAATTTGAAAAACCTAAAGAAATAATTTTTGACGTAGCACCAAAGGAGCTCTATGGAAATCTAACACAAAGTTTCAACTTTGGAGGCCCATATCTTCAAAACCGTTCCAAATATTGGAATTAAACTTATTTTATCTTGAAGAGCATTGAATTCTAATCCAGAATAGTAATTTTTACATTGAAATATGTGAAATATTAATGAAATAATAGATGATTTTGTGAGGCCATGTCGAATAAATCAAATTTTCAGAGACCAATAAGTCTTTTCAATTATTTGTTTCAAGCCTTTTTTAAACCTTTTAACATAGAATTGTCAAAATAATTTTCTACTAAATTTGACCTCCTTTTTCGATTGGTAAAGTCAGACATTTGAAAAACTTAAAGAAATAATTTTTGACGTAGCACCAAAGGAGCTCTATGGAAATCTGACACAAAGTTTCAACTTTGGAGGCCCATATCTTCAAAACCGTTCCAAATATTGGAATGAAACTTTTTTTATCTTGAAGGGCATTGAATTCTGATCCAGAATAGTTATTTTTACATTGGAATATCTGAAATATTAACGGAGTAATAGATGATCTTGTGAGGCCCATGTAGAATAAATGAAATTTCCAGAGACCAATAAGTCTTTTCAATTATTTGTTTCAAGCCTTTTTTAAACCTTTTACCATAGAATTGTCAGAATAATTTTCTACTAAATTTGACCTCCTTTTTCGATTGGTAAAGTCAAACATTTGAAAAACTTAAAGAAATTATTTTTGACGTACCACCAAAGGAGCTCTATGGAAATCTGACACAAAGTTTCAACTTTGGAGACCCATATCTTCAAAACCGTTTCAAATATTAGAATCAAACTTATTTTATCTTGAAGAGCATTGAATTCTGATCCAGAATAGTTATTTTTACGTTGGAATATCTGAAATATTAACGAAGTAATAGATGATTTTGTAAGGCCATGTTGAATAAATGAAATATCCACAGACCAATAAGCCTTTTCAATTTGTTTCAAGCCTTGAAACCTCTAACAAAGATTTGTAGAGATGTTTTTTTACTAAATTTGATCCCCTTTTTCGAGTGATAAAATAAAAAATTTGAAAAACCCAAAGCAATAATTTTTGACGTAGCACCAAAGGAGCTCTATGGAAATCTGACAAAAAGTTTCAACTTTGGAGACCCATATCTTCAAAACCGTTCCAAATATTAGAATCAAACTTATTTTATCTTGAAGAGCATTGAATTCTGATCCAGAATAGTTATTTTTACGTTGGAATATCTGAAATATTAACGAAGTAATAGATGATTTTGTAAGGCCATGTCGAATAAATGAAATTTTCAGAGACCAATAAGTCTTTTCAATTTGTTTCAAGCCTTTAAACCTACAACATAGAGTTGTAAGAATGTTTTTCTATCAAATTTGACCTCGTTTTTCGATTGGTAAAGTCAGACATTTGAAAAACTTAAAGAAATAATTTTTGACGTAGCACCAAAGGAGCTCTATGAAAATCTGACACAAAGTTTCAACTTTGGAGGCCCATATCTTCAAAACCGTTCCAAATATTGGAATGAAACTTTTTTTATCTTGAAGGGCATTGAATTCTGATCCAGAATAGTTATTTTTACATTGGAATATCTGAAATATTAACGGAGTAATAGATGATTTTATGAGGCCCATGTAGAATAAATGAAATTTCCAGAGACCAATAAGTCTTTTCAATTATTTGTTTCAAGCCTTTTTTAAACCTTTTAACATAGAATTGTCAGAATAATTTTCTACTAAATTTGACCTCCTTTTTCGATTGGTAAAGTCAGACATTTGAAAAACTTAAAGAAATTATTTTTGACGTACCACCAAAGGAGCTCTATGGAAATCTGACAAAAAGTTTCAACTTTGGAGACCCATATCTTCAAAACCCTTCCAAATATTAGAATCAAACTTATTTTATCTTGAAGAGTATTGAATTCTGATCCAGAATAGTTATTTTCACGTTGGAATATCTGAAATATTAACGAAGTAATAGATGATTTTGTAAGGCCATGTCGAATAAATGAAATATCCAGAGACCAATAAGTCTTTTCAATTTGTTTCAAGCCTTTAAACCTCTAAACAAAGATTTGTAGGGATGTTTTTCTACTAAATTTGACCTAATTTTTCGATTGACAAAATGAAAAATTTGAAAAACCCAAAGAAATTATTTTTGACGTACCACCAAAGGAGCTCTATGGAAATCTTATTTTATCTTGAAGAGCATTGAATTCTGATCCAGAATAGTTATTTTTACGTTGGAATATCTGAAATATTAACGAAGTAATAGATGATTTTCTAAGGCCATGTTGAATAAATGAAATATCCACAGACCAATAAGCCTTTTCAATTTGTTTCAAGCCTTGAAACCTCTAACAAAGATTTGTAGGGATGTTTTTTTACTAAATTTGATCCCCTTTTTCGAGTGATAAAATAAAAAATTTGAAAAACCCAAAGCAATAATTTTTGACGTAGCACCAAAGGAGCTCTATGGAAATCTGACAAAAAGTTTCAACTTTGGAGACCCATATCTTCAAAACCGTTCCAAATATTAGAATCAAACTTATTTTATCTTGAAGAGCATTGAATTCTGATCCAGAATAGTTATTTTCACGTTGGAATATCTGAAATATTAACGAAGTAATAGATGATTTTGTAAGGCCATGTCGAATAAATGAAATATCCAAAGACCAATAAGTCTTTTCAATTTGTTTCAAGCCTTTAAACCTCTAAACAAAGATTTGTAGGGATGTTTTTCTACTAAATTTGACCTAATTTTTCGATTGACAAAATGAAAAATTTGAAAAACCCAAAGAAATAATTTTTGACGTAGCACCAAAGGAGCTCTATGGAAATCTGACACAAAGTTTCAGTTTTGGAAGCCCATATCTTCAAAACCGTTCCAAATATTGGAATCAAATTTATTTTATCTTGAAGAGCATTAAATTCTGATTCAGAATAGTTATTTTTACATTGAAATATATGAGTTATTAACGGAGTAATAGATAATTTTGTGTGGCCATGTCGAATAAATGAAATTTTTAGAGACCAAGTCTTTTCAATTTGTTTCAAACCTTTAAGCCTCTAACATAGAGTTGTTGTCGACCTCCTTTGTCAATTGGTAGAGTTATAAATGTGAAAAACCCAAACAAATAATTTTTGACGTAGCACCAAAGGAGCTCTATGGAAATCTGACACAAAGTTTCAGTTTTGGAAGCCCATATCTTCAAAACCGTTCCAAATATTGGAATCAAACTTGTTTTATCTTGAAGAGCATTGAACAAGTAGTCAACAAGACATTAGAGCAAAATATACCAAAAATTCACAGCGATCGAAGAGTGCACGAAAGCTACGAAGGGATTAACATAAATACATAGTTTTTGAAGGAATGAAGTATGATAATTTCTCAGAAACTATAGAAGCCACAAATATGAAATTTTTTGGAATCCTTTCTAAGGCATTTGAACAGAATATACCAGAAATTCAAAGCAATTGGATAAAGGACACAAAAGTTACAAAGGGATTTATACAAATAGGTACATCGTTTTTGAAGGAATGAAATATGACAATCTTACATAAATATGATAATTTCTCAAAAGCTATAAAATCCACAAATATGAAATTTTTTGGAATCTTTTATAAGGCATTTGAACAGGAACAAAAAACTCACATAACAAAATTGCATCTTTAGAATGGTAATTTTCTTTTTAAAAAAGAAGAATGCTGAAATCGCTGAAAATTTCAGCTTTCTATATCTATAATAGAAAAAAAGTTATGACCTTTCAAAATTTTCCAAATCTGAATCATACTTAAAATCTTACAACTGATTATTTATTCCCGATTCACTACACAAAAACTAAACTGTTGTAGATACTATTTCGTATATTACACTAGTTGATATACCTTGTTTCTTAGCAAAACGTAATGTGTCAAATCTTATCTACAACCATGAGTTATGAGTGTTTAAAAGTCTACATACGATTTTAGATGATCAATTGGGACTCCAGAAACTCCATACAGTGATTTATTATGGGATTTGAAGTCGAAATCCAAAAGTTCATTCCACATTCGATTGAAATTTGGCAAATGGATAGAGAAAAGATTGAAATTTCCATAAGAAAATTAAAGTTCCTTCTGCTTGCTCAAATTTATATGAAAACTAATAGCGAAACTAGATTGAAATGATTGAAAATTGATTTGTAGAGACTTTATAATTGGCCTTAATTTGAGCCCAATTACGTTGAGTTCCGGATTAAAATATAATAATTAACAAAGTTAAAGCAGCAAAATAATGTGTCTCAGAGGTAGGCATTCAAAAACTTCATTAACAAACAATCATTACCTTGTCTTCTTCTTTTTTACTCCATTATTATCATTTTTCTTTTTCACGCTTTTTTTGCTGGTCGTCGAAGAAGCGTTGGCAATCTCCGTGGAATTGAGCGTTTGGGATTGGAGCAGTACCACGTCCTCTTTTTTCCGTTGCTGGTGCACACCGTTGGTACTGCCGATGGTGTCCATCGCTCCTTGGAACGCCATCGATAGATCTTGATGGTGCATGGGAGAACCGTCGAGTTTTTGAGGCGACGATTTTTCGTAGTCCAACGGCGAACCCATGCCTGCGAACATTTCGTGCTGGTGTTGTTGCAAACCCAACATGACCTGGAATAGAATGGAAATATATTCATTGAAATCATTTGCAAATTTTATAATAAAAATTTACCTGTATGGAATGTACATCATTATTTTTACTCAACAAAGTCGAACTTAAACTGGGCAAAGGTTGATTATTGTAATCGCTAAAACTCTGATCGTCAAACGGTCCGGCACCTTCCATTATAAAACTTGCACTCAATCAAAAAAAAAATCAGGCTCAATTTGGCCGAGCTGTTACTCTAACACTGACTTCTGACATTATCATTTTAGTCAATTTATATTTAACGAGCTCAATTGCCCCGACGTATTCCAGAGAGCGACCCATTGGACCGTCGGCGGTAGGTTGGATTTGGCTCGGCCAATGGGATCGGGGACGGGTGAGGGATCGAGCTCTATCCGACGGCTCTAACAGGTCCTGCGGCACTGGCACAAAACCTGAATAGAGGCGCGAGAATTCAGTATTGGGATTAATTGAGTAATTCTTAATAGAGTTAAGATATTATTGAAATTATTGTATTGTTTGAGATTTGAATTTGGTACCGGGAATTCTAAATTTTTCTACAAAATAATGATTTGTTAATGTTCGAATACTCGTTGATTTTCTGGCTTTATGAGCCAGTTATTTTAGTGCTAGACCAGAAACCTAAAAGTATAAAACTGAAATTTTTCGTTTGGAAAATTGCCATTGTCCATGTGCGGAAAATATAATTTTTTCGCACGTAACGAAAGACACCGGAAAGGCAAAATAAAAAAACTTTCGAAAATTCTAAAGATTTAAAGTCGGTTCAAAGAATTTTTAAACTTTGGAGCGTTTTGTTGGGCTTGAGAATTTTGAACACCAAAGAGTATAAGACTTAAGAATTTAAAGATTCTAGAAACTTTGAGGAAAATAGAAAATATAATAAAATCAGTTGGGATTTTGAAGACCAAAGCTCTAAATCTTGATTTTTCAACATTTTAAAATGTTGATCTAAAGATGGAGAATTTAAGACCTAAGACTGAAGCCTCTGAAAATTATAAAAATGTTTGAAATGGTACGGCATCGACACACATTTTGCCTTACAACTCAGTTAATTTCAATCCAATCTCAATGCAATTAAGCTCAAATTGAAGTCAGTTGAATTCTCTATAAATCTGTACAGTCAGATTTTTATACCTATTTCGTGGAGCCTGGAAATCGAGAAATCAAAGCGAAAAGAAGGAAATCCCTTGACGTCTGATTTTTTCCAAAACGACATCGACGCTCATTTCACCTCATAACCAGTGGCGGACCTAGGACATTTGGGGCCCGACGCAAAAAAAAAAAAATTGGGGCCCTGCCATCCTTTTTTAGATATTTTTCTTGTGGTGTTGGGGTGTGAGAAAGTTATTTATATTTTTTATGTTTTTTACAGCCATAACGAGGGTTCTTAATAGTGCCGGATCTAAAAATAATATTTGCAACATTGCCAGTTTTATCGTTTTTCCGATAAATCTCGCAATTCTACTTTTCTAAATGTAAAGCTTTTGGTAGTTTTGTTGGTCAAACCAGAGTGTTTTTAATTCTAAATTATAAAAAAAAAATTCTGCAGATTTTAGAAGATATATGGCAATACTGCATTATCATTTAAAAGAACTGGAACGGTGAAATATCTCAGCAGCAATGGCGTAATATAACGTAATATTATTAGAAATTATTTATTCAAGTGCTTAAATAATAAACCTTAATAAAGTTGTGAGATTTGTCGAAAAAACTATAAAACGGGCAACGTTGCAAATATTATTTTTAGATCCGGCACTTTTGAAAACCGCTGTAAACCAAATTTCATAACGTTATGGTTAGGTTAAGCTATTGCTGAGATATTTCCATAACTCAATCAATTTTAATCCAATCCCAAAGAAATTGAGCTGAAATTAAAGTCAATTGAATTCCCTATAAACCTCCATACACTAAATTATTCTGAGATTTGGAGCTGCATTCTATGAAAAAATGCACTGTAAAATCCAGAAAAACGCAATAGTCTTTTTCCCGAATAACGCAGTACGCAGTACGTTCTAAAAATCTGTAATATTGTGATGTTTCTGCTAACAGGAATGGGCTACCTGCTTTTTTTATAATGTTTTTGATTTGATCAAAATCTGAGGATACTTATATACAGGGTGTATCAGGTTTGACTACAAAAATTTTAACACGTGAAAATATGGCCCATTTTGAACAAAAAAAGTTTACACAACATGGAGTCCAAACTCAACCATTTTTGAAAAAAAGGCCTTTGAAGTTTTGACATTTTCTAACGAATATTTTAAAGGTAAAGAAAATTTTAATCATTATGAGATGTAGAAAAATTTAGTTTATCCAATTATCAAGTAATTATGCATTTTTAGTCAACAACTATAACATAAAATTGAAAAAACAACTTACAAATTTCACTTGTAAAAGGGTATCTAAACATCTGGCAACACAGCACAATAAAGAATAGGTGGTTGAAGGTTGAACCTTGGTGGAGCTGAATAAATTGATTCTTGATTTGGTCTAGTTAGGAAATGCGCGTAATTCAAATTAATTTTTTTTTGAAAATAAAATGTTTAAAATCATCGAATATGCAGATACTTGTTCACGCAGAAACTTTGCAAAATGCTCATTTAGCCGCCAGAATTTACAAGGAAACTAGGGAAAGATTTCCCAAAAGAAAAGCACCCACCTGATGAAAGAACATTGTGCCCCTTTTACAAAGATTGCGTGATACAGGAAGTATGAGCTGTGAGTGTGCAAAATCTGCGTGTTGATTTTAGTGTTTTGAGAAACTTTTAACAACAATTAATATTTTCATAATAAGGATTTGACAAGTAGCTGAGTAAATATTATTTGATTTTTCTCTTGAATGTTTAGTGCAAAAATGTCAATGAATGCAATTCACAACTTAATAAAACGGCACATTTTTTATTTTTACTAGAAAAATGATAAAAGTGAAAGTTATTATTTACATTATTTGAAAACCTGTACAATGTTGTCACGTTGTTAACATTTTTCTAAATTTAAATTCTGCGATAACTCCGAAAATACTAACAATTGACCCATGGTTAATAGGAAAGTTTTAGCTTGAAATGGGCCATATTATCTCATGTTGAAATATTTGTACTCATACCTGATACACTCTGTATTTTGCTGAAACAGGGACGTAGCAAAGGCCTCTGATTTGGGGGGGAGGAGAGGTGACATTCCTAATTTTCCCAACTTTATTAAAACAAAAAAATCATATGTAGCATTGTACACGTGTTAAGAAGCGAAACTTCTTGAAAACTATTCCCTCCTTCATACAACTTTTAGATTTAGCGTATAAGTCGGGGTATAAAGACGAAAGGCCACACGAAAGGCAGACGCGCATTTGTAGTGACGTCACAAAGGTATCTGCGCTTGACAATAACAGGTAATCCTCTTTGTTTATAATCCTTGGTTTCTGCCAATTGCTCGTCGGCTTTCATTGGCTGTCTTTCTCCGTCTCTCATCTCTCTACGGACTCTACGTTATATCTTTTATCTCTCTCGTCTCTTGCGTAACGAAACGTGTCGTTACTTGTAGCGTGACGCGTCTTTCGAATCATTTCCATTTTCTCCCAATTATCAGGCTGCCGCCTAAGAAGTTTCACTTGAAAAAAATTAGGTGTAGCATCGTACACGTGTTAAGAAACAAACCGTACCTTTAAACTTCTTAAGAGGGGCGCCAGATAAGAGCCAGCGCGCCATCTTTTGGCCTTGACGATATACATTAAATATTTTTTAATCACAGGTATTCAAATTCTCTGTAAGTGATTGACTTATTTACAACTAGATGGCGATATCTTCAATATCAATTCGTTTACACAGTAATTTACAGTGGACTAATAATTTTATTCAGATGCAAATGAAATAATAGTATTTCACATTTTTAACTATGTAGTTAAATCAGTTCTTATTGGCGTTTGAAAGAAGTGATTACCCTTCCCGAACTCAGCGACATCTTTAAAAGAAGCGCGGAACACACGTTTGGTTTGAGTCTCTGCTGGAAATGACAGCAATCACCTGCTTGTTTGGCACTTTTGGCAGATTTTGATTAATTTTGGAATAAAAACATCATACATTCTCGGCAATTCTGTTCTATTCATTTATTCCAGCAATTGACGACCCGAAATTTTGGAAATTTATTGTTGGTGTGCTACTCTAAGTTTTTATCCATTTTTCATTTAAATCTGTGACCAAAATGTGCATACTGTTGTCAACAAAATTAGTATCTAATAATTTTACTATTTAGACTACGTATTTTGCAACCAAAAATACTTTGACCCATACTCTAATCTATTATTGTTATGAACATAACTTCATTTCACTAAAAAGTGGTCTAAATTTAGAATTGAACAGAAGTTTGTGAAGGTCTGTAAATGACATTTCATTTAAACGCCCCTCTTAAAACTATAATACCTTCCCTCATACAACTGTTAGATTTAGCGTCTGAGACGGGGTGAAGACGTAGGGCCACACAAAAGGAAGACGCGCATCTGTACTTACGTTATAAGGGTATCGGCGCTTGACAATAATAGGCAATCCTATTTGCCTATAATCCTTGGTTTGTGTCAATCGTTCTTCGGCTGTCATTGTTATTAGCTCTCTTTCTCCGTCTCTCTACGTTATATCTTTCTTCTTTCTTGTCTCTCGTGTAACGAAATTTGCCAAAACGTGACGTTACGTAACGCGTCTTTCAATAATTACCTACTCTCCATTCTCGTCTAAATATCAGACCGCCGTCTAGGAAGTATCACTTCAAAAATTGATAATGGCATGTACCTATACAGGGTTTTTATTTTAAATCTATCATTTGACACCAGCTTTGAATTTAACCGGAGATTATAGATTTAATTGGAATTTTCAATCATAGATTAAACTCAAAGTTGGTATCAGATGATGGTCTATGAATTTAAATTTGGTATCAAGTGTATGGAATTGAAAACCCTCCAAAATGATGTATCACTTTGACCCCCTTTTCCATTTAAATTTTTTTATGAGGTGACTCTGGGGACTGGGGGGTTGAAAGCGGGGAGGTGAATTTTGCATAAAAACTCATCCCCCTCAAATTATAATTGACGTGTTTCATGGATTTTTCAACTCCAGGATAATAGGGGTGATAAGTTTAAAAATGAACACCCTGTATATTCCAGACCTACAAATATATTCAAAGAAAATAGACACTA